TCTCATCAGTATCTAATTCATCATCTAAATTTATTGGCTAATTACATTTCTTCTGTTGAATTGTTCTTTTCTTAGTTTTCTAAGTAGTTTTGTTTGTTGCTAAAAAGGACCTTCTCTACCTTAAGGATAAAAATTTATTTGCTTATTAATTTCTTCTAATATATTTTTGCTTGATAGGTAACTTTAAGAATTTATGTTTGCACAAAGATGGTGCAAATTAAATTTCTTCATAAATGCAATTTATTATTGGTGAAAGTTTAGTCAACAGATTTACTGACTGATCACTTTGATGTTGGAATTGTGTTAGCTGCTAGAGAGATGATGGTGAACAAAATATAAGGTCTCTGGGGCCTTGTTAAAGCTCATATTCTATAGGTGAATAAAGAAAGCAAACAAGTAAACAATCCAAACTAAATTATTATGGGTTCTAATAATGACTATGAAGGAAATAAGCAAGGTGCTATAGAATGAGTCATAAAAATGGTCACTGCAGGCATTAATAGAAATAGACAAAGGACGTGTACACAAAACAGTCCTATTGAATGGATCTACCATCATTTACATAACTATTTTCCTACCTGTTGGATTTGTAGATTTCTTTCACATTTTCATCATTTTATTGCTAAAAATCTGTTAAAGACAAGTCCCTGCATAAGTTTATTTCCTTGGACTTATTTCCTAGAAATGAAGTTACTAGATAAGAACAATCAGAATAATGCCAAGAGTTAAAATATACTAAGCCAACAATAGAAAGTGAAGTTTATTTAATATACAATTTATAAACAGGGATAACATTTTGAGTTGTTGTTAAGTGCTGTTGAATCAGTTCTGACCCATAGTGACCCTGTATAGGGTTTCCAAGGAGTGATTGATGAGCTTGAACCACCAATCTTACAGATCAAACTGACTTTGCAGTCCAGAGCATCAGCCCACAGCGCCACACCAGGACTCCAACATATTGATCAGGGAGTCAAAAATGTCCCCAAGAGGAAAGAACTTTCAAAGATTGTTTTTTAAAAAAGCTTTTATTGTGACTTTGAAAGACTTTATATCTCATCTTGACATTGCCATGGAAACAAGGTCAAACTCCTCCCTCTCAAATAAATAAAATTTAAACCCATTGTCATTCAGTGGATTCTGGTTCTTACTGATCCTGTAAGACTGCTTCCTAGGTTTCTGAGACTGTAAATCTTTTTTTTTTTTTTTAGTTTTTATTGTGAATTGAGTGACAGTTTATATGGGAGAACATCAGCTTTACATTCATCTTGTTGTATTTCATTTCACTGTAATGATTACAATCCCCTCCATGCATCCTCAAACAACCAAAAGATACACCCCACAAGCCTGTCAGCACACAGCCCCTCTCCCTCCCTGAGTCCAGAGTCCCCAGACGCTCCATCTCTCCACATCATTGTCTCTGCCTCCATCTCTGGCATCACTGTTTCTCTGGATAGGGTCTTGTACTCCACTCTTCTACCTTGATGGTCCCAGGGTCCTCTGCTCCTGGACTGCAAAACCAACCACTCCTCTCCTTTTGTTACAAAACATCTACCTTTACATTTGCAACCCTCACAGTCAGTCCTGATAGTACTTATTCACTATTGAACCACAGAGTCTTATCCCCATCTCCTTTCATCAGCTCCATCCAGACAGGTTGGAAACCACTTAGTGGACATTCTACCTTCCCTCACACCTTCTGGAACTAGGCTCCCTCTTGAAAGTTTGTAAGCCAGTCACTTCTTGCCTTTGTAGCCCCAACATTTTGGGTAGCCAATGTCTAAGTTGCCCATCCCTGTCAACTCTGTGTATGGAGGGGGTGGAAATGATCCTCTTTTGAGCTACTATATCCTTAAGTATAGGAGTCCTGGTGTGGCGCTGTAGGTTAATGCGTCAGACTGCAAAGCTGTTTGAACTACAAAGTTGGCAGTTCAAGCTCACCAGCTGCTGCTCCTTGGAAACCCTTACAGGGTCACTATGGTTGGAATCAACTCGACGGCACTCTACAACAACAACATCTATAAGCATAGGTCAAATTGTAGTGGATTATTCTTTTTTTCCTCTTCTTTCTGTAGTAGAGTTCTGATCATCCAGCCATTGAAGGCAAGTCAAGTGGGTATTATCTGCAAGTATGGGTGTTCTTGTGCATGCCCTCACTTCATATTAGCTGGACGCTCACTCTATGCTCTAGTCCTCTGTGGCCATGTCCCTTTCTCTGGGCTCAGGAGTCCCCTGGTCTTGACATACTACTGGTCAATCTGGTCTCAACCCAGGTTGACAGGAGTCTATTGAACGTGGTCGGACTTAGCTCACAATTTCATTGCTGTTTTTCCCCCACTTCCCCTTATCGGTAGACCAATATAGTTACCAGTCAGAGTGCATGTCTGCTTGTGTATTCCCAGTGAGTTTTAGTCTTGGAAGGGGGTTTGCCCTGAGGGGACCCGACCACTCGCCTTGATGTCTCCTGGGTGAGCAACTTGCTTGTTCTTGCAGTAGTCAGTTGGCCTGCTGTTATTGTTTTGTATTTTTCCTGCCAGTTTTTCTGTCAAGAAGTATCTTCTGTTCTAGCTGCTCAAGGATGGTCTGCTTGTCCTTTCAAGTGGAGATTTCCCACTTCAGAAGATTCTGGATGGGGATCAGTATTCCACCTAAGGTCTTATGCAATGCAAAGTCTCTGCATGAAGCCTCCTTCACTGGGCAAGTTCTAGACCCATTTTAGGTATTCCAATCAGTTATAGGCAGAAGACGGACTTACAAGCTTCTATCGTGATGTTTTTGGCTATTCCTTTCTCTCTCCCTCAAGTGTCTATTTTACAATAGTAAGCAAGGGAAATCAAGATTCATATGATGCCAAGCATCTTAACAGTATTTCCCCTCTTTTACCCATTCAAACCATGCCTCAATCTCTGTATCCCATAGCCCTGTTGTTCCAAGGTTGAACATACATCATTCTTTATCTCTGTCCCACTTAGCTCATGCAAACCTGCCTAAATGTTCTCCCATCTGCCTTGTTCTTCTATTCCCCTCCCCCTTCTTGTGTATTGGCCGCCTTCCCCAGCACCCAAACTATCCTGTGTCTATTCTCTACACTGTGCTCCACCTTCCTCTCACTCCACTCCTTGCCCCACCCAATACACCTTGGTAACCAGCAAGAATTTTTTTTCTTCCCCTTTTAGTGTGGATACTTTTTCTTAAGCTTTTACAATAATGGTCCTATGCAGTATTTCTCTGTTTGTGACTAACTTCACTCTGGTAGTGTAGTGGTTACAAATCAGGCTGTGAACTGCAAGGTCAGCAGTTCGAAACTACCAGCTATTCTGAGGGAGAAAGAGAGGCTTCCTGCTCCTGTAAAGATTTACAGCCTCGTATACCCTGTACAGGGTCACTATAAGTCGGAACCAACTCCAACGGCACACCACCACCACCAGTTTCCCTCAGCATTAATGTCCTCAAGGTTCATCCATGTTATGCAGTGGCTTGCAGCTTCCTTGTTATTCTTCAAGGTAGCATAATATTCCATTGTGTGTATGTACCAAAGTTTGTTTATCTATTTTCCCATTGATGGGCACTTAGGCTGTCTCCATCTTTTTGCTATTGTAAATAGTGCTACTATGAACACTGGTGTGCATATATCTACTCATGTTATGGCTCATATTTCTTGTGGCTAAATACCAAGTAGAGTTATTACTGGATCATAAGGTATTTCTATTTCCAACTTTCTGAGGAAGCACCGTATTGTTTTCCAGAGTGGTTGGACCATTTTACAATCCCACCAGCAATGTAGCAGAGTCCCAGAGACTGTAAATCTTTACAGTAGCATGCAACCTTATCTTTGGCCAGCGGTGATGAGGTGAATATGAGCCATGACCTTTTGGTTAACAGCCCAATGCTTGACCCACAGAGTCACTTTTGCTCCTTCGAAGCAGGGCCAGAACAGAGTTTGCAGAATAACAATTTACTTTAAAAATTCATAAGGTTCTAATCTTAATTTAGGAGTTACTGTTTCTTGAAACTGACTACACATAATTCAAGTGTAAAATATCTAAGGTAAAATGGTCTTTTTAATGTATCTAGACCCTTGTGTGACTTAAAGGTCTTTTATGAATCAATTTTCTCAAGGATTTTGTTAAACCTTGAACCTTGAGAAAACTGGTTCCTAAATTTGTTTCTCACAAGTTACAAGAGGGATTGCCAATGCACTCATCAAAGAGAGCAAGGAATGGGAAAAATAACTGTCATGACATGTAAGGGCTCAGGAAAAGAAAAAGGTAAGTGTAATTGATCTGGTTTAGGTTAGGAGCTGCAGGATGACAAGGGCTAACATCTGCACTAGATAAGAAAACCTGGATTTAAATCCCATCTTTCCACGGGAGAAAGATGAGGCTTTTTACTCCTGCAAAGATTTACTGCCTCGGAAACCCTATACAGAGTCGCTCTGAGTCAGAACCGTCTCAATGATACTTAGTAACAAGAATCCCATCTTCTCCACTCCTTCACAGGTTATAGTCCCTTCTCAATATGGAGTTCCCTTAAATTTAGGTAGGTTTGGCTGAGGTTTTATCTATTCCGTCATCTAGGTTCAGACCAAACGTTCTTTGGCCCCGCGAATCAAATCAACAGCTTCTAGAATTGGTGTACTAGGGAATGGATTGAAAGGGCTTCAGTCTCCAAACGCCAACTAATCACTCGCAGGCACTTCCGGTAGCCTAGACAAAGAATTTGCGCCCCAACTACCTCACTTCCGGATACTTAAACCGGCTCATTAGCATTCTGGGTCGGTGAACAGCAGCCCCAAGACTTCGATATTGCAACTGCGCATGCTTCCAGCGGGTGAGGAGCGGGGCGGGGCACTGAGTGGGGCGGGCCTGAAACCTGACTTGTCTCGCGGTCACTGGGCCGGCTCTAGCGCGCGAGGCTCGGGGGCGGCGCGGGGCGGAGCTTAGGCCGAGTGGGCTCTGTGGGTCTCAGCCGAACGGCGCCGAGTTCGAGGGGCTGAGGTCGTCTCAGGTAAGGAGGTCGTTCCGGAAGTGGCTTAGGCTTTGGCGCCAGAGTTTGTAAAGAGCCTGCAGCTCAATTGTTTGTTATTAAGGGGCTGCGGCATTACCCCACTCCTTCCACCTTCCCTGCAGCAACCATGGCGAAAGGCAGTGTTGCGGAACGATCGCAGACTGGGACACTCCATACGACCCCAACTGAGGACCGGGCAGCGGGGACGAAGGCTCCCGTGGCACAGGGTAGCGGAGACCACTTGAAAGGTGAGTAGCCCCGGGGACCACAGATGGGGCTAGCCCAGAGGCATGAGCATTCCAAGAGGGATTCCGGAGGGGAAAGGACCCTAGACGGTCCGGGTGGTTGAGGGGAGAATAGGGGCCAGCTGCTGTCCATCGTAAGGTGCGTAGTAATGCTTGTTAGATTGAATCCACTTGAAAGAAGGAATGACAGTGCTTTGTTTGTTGACGCCTAGGGAAATTATATAGATGATAATATAGAAGCTTTATATGGCTAGGAGGAATTTTAGCATTCGTTGCTTTATTTTTGCAGATGAGGAACTGACGTCCTAGGTTGGTATATGATTAACGAAGTCACAAAGCCAGATTAGTAAAGTGATAGTTAAGAGCAGGGACTTTGGTGACAGAAACACCTGGGTGTGAGTCCTCGCCCAACTACTTGTGACCTTGGACTTCTTAGGTTTCAAAAACTCAATGTCTCAGCTGTAAAATGGGGATAGTAATAGTAGTACCTACAAGAAACCCTGGTAGCATAGAGTAGGTTAAGCGTTGGGCTGCTCATGTTAACAATTACTATTATAGCTAACTAAGGTCTTTCGTTCTCAAGCTGCCCGGTACACCATCCTGGCATTTCTTAGGGAGTCCTGATGTGGTGCTGTAGAATAAGCGCTGGACTGCTAACCTCAAAGGTCAGTGGTTGGAAACCACCAGCCGCTCCTAGAAAACCCTATACACGATTACTATGAGTTGCAGTCGACTTGAAAGCACTTTAACAACGAACAGCAACATACCTAGAAACTAAATAATTTTTATTCCATCTTGGCATGTCTTCTCAGCAGTTGAAATGATTAAGCTTTTTAGATGCTTTTAAGTGATACAAACAAATGATGCATAGTTTGCTGCACACTCACACCACCAATGACAAGTAGGAGAGTGTCTCTAAGAATGTGTAACAGAAAGTGTTAATATATTTTCAAATAACTTAAAATATCTCCACCAATCTAATTTGGCTCTTGAAGTTTTATTTATTTGGGCATCTTCCCATTTTATAGACAACGAGCCAAATAACTTCAAAAGTCTAGAAATGAATTGTTTTGAGGTATAAATCTACATTAAAGGAATATTGTTTTAAAGATGTTACTACTGACACTGACAATCATTCAAGGTCTGGATTTCCCAAGAAAGTGTTTCCATGGACAGTGTCCATAAAGATTGTATTTGGTTTGAAATAATTTGTTTTGTCACTGTTTTTTAAAAAATCTTTAGTTATTCAGAAAACATGAGTGTTGGACTGCTAACTACAAGGTTAGCAATTCAAAACCCACCAGCCTATTCTAGGGAGAAAAAGACTTGTTAAAAAAAAAGATTTACAGCCTCAGAAACCCTGTACAGGGATACTTTTGAGTTAGAACCAACTTGATAGCACCTAACAAAAATAGCAATCAGAAAATAAAATCTCAAAACTTTTCAAAATGCTTTTATAATTGTCCATTTTATTTTATCATTATAAAAACTCTTTCAACATAGAAATTCTTTTTATGATGCTGTCAAAATATATCCTTCAGACTACATTTCTATAGGAAGTTAGAGGGAAGAGATTGATATAAACTTCATGGAAAAATCTTAAGTAGAGAGGAGAGAAGGAAATTCTGGAGAGGGAAGGGGATATAGTGGGTTTGAAGCTTAGTGTGAACCTTATACTATGTCAGTAAAGAAATTAATGTTTCTGGAGTGGAGAATTTCTGTTGGGTAGTTGTTGAGATAAGGTTGGCCATGTTTGGATTGGTGCCAGATTGTGGGTGTTAAGTACTAGGCAAAAGAAATTTTGATCTATCCTGTTTATTAAGAATTCTAGTTTATTCTGTTTGTATGGGTGTCTCTGTCTAATGCAAAGAATTCTCTTTATCTGCAAGATTTTGTTTGCCCCTTACATTACATTAAGTATCTGGGTCACCTTCTGGGAGTCATTAAGCTGTTGATGTGATGATATTAGCTACTTAACTACTTTAAACTAGAAAAACCAAACCTGTTACTATGGAGTTGCTTCATAATAATGCCCTATAAGCAAGCAAACAAACTGTCCCATAGGATTCCCAAAGTTATACTCTTTTACAGATGTAGATTTTTCTCCCCCATTGGTGTTGGTGGGTTTAAATTGCTAATCTTATGGTTAGCAGCCAAGCACTTAACCACTGGGTCACCAGAGCTCCTGCTAACTACTTAGCAACTAAATTTTTAGGTTATGAAAAGCAGTTTTTGTTATTGTTTTATAAATGTTGGCCACCTGACAGTGAAAAAAAATGGAAAGGTTTTGAAGGAAAAATAAGCATTTTGTAATTCTTGGTTGAGAAATACATAATAAGGTCCTATAAACTTCATGACACTTCAAATAAATTTGCATTTTGTTAACTGATATAGCTACATCTCTTTTATTTGCTTAAGTATTTAATTTTATCCTAGAATATGTGAAATATTTTACATGCTATAGGCAGTACTTGGTGCGTTTAGTATACTACTTGCCATGATCTGTAAGATCTGGGAACTACTTTGAAGACTTGTGACCAATACAGTATCATGGTTGTTGTTGTTGTTAGGTGCCATCAAGTCGATACCTACCCATAGCACAGCAGAACGAAACACGGCCTGATCCTGAGCCAACCTCATTACTGTTGCCATGCTTGAGTCCATCGATACTGCCACTTGGCCAATCCATCTCATTGGGAGGTCTTCCTCTTTTTCTCTGATCCTCCACCTTATCAAATATGATATCTTTCTCCAGTGACTGGTCCCTCCTGACAATATGTCTGAAGTATGAGAGTCGAAGTTTGGTCAATTTGACCTCCAAGGAGCACTCTGGCTGTACTTCTTCTAAAACGCATCTATTGGTTCTTTTGGCAGCCTATGGCATTTTCAGTATTCTCCTCCAACACCATAATTCAAAAGCATCAATTCTTCTACGGTCTTCCTTATTCAATGTCCAGCTTTCGCATGCATATGAGGTTATTGAAAATACCATAGCTTGGGTCAGACGAACCTTAGTCCTGAAGCTGACATCTTTGCTCTTCAACACTTTAAAAAGGTCTTATGCAACAGATTTGCTTAATGTAATATGTCATTTGATTTCCTGACTGCTGCTTCCGTGAGTGTTGATAGTTGATCCAAGAAGAATGAAGTCCTTGACAACTTCAATCTTTTCTCCACTGATAAGAATGTTGTTTATTGGTCCAGTGGTGAGGATTTTAGTTTTCTTTATATTGAGATGTAATCCATACCGAAGACTGTGCTCTTGATCTTTATCAGTAAATGTTTTAAGTCCTCTTCGGTTTCAGCAAGCAAGGTTGTATCATCTGCATATCACAGGTTGTTAATGAGTCTTCCTCCAATCCTGATGCCACATTTTTCTTCATAGAACCCAGCTTCTCAGATTATTTGCTCAGCATACAGGTTGAATAAGTATGGTGAAAGAATACAACCTTGTCACACACCTTTTTTAATTTTAAACCATTCAGTGTTTCCATGTTCTGTTTGAACAACTGCTTCTTGGTCCAGGTACAGATTCCTCATGAGCACAATGAAGTGTTCCGGAATACTCATACTTTGCAATGTTGTCCATGGCTTGTCATAATCCACATAATCGAAAGCCTTTTCGTAGACAGTAAAGCACAGGTAAACTTTCTGATACTCTCTGCTTTCAGCCAAGGTCCACTGGACATTAGCAATGATATCCCTGGTCCCATGGCCTCTTCTGAATCATGCTTGAACCTCTGGAAGTTCTCTGTCAATGTATGATTGTAGCTGTTCCTGTATTACCTTTAGAAAAACTTTACTCACATGGGATATCAAAGAGATTGTCTGATGATTTCTGCATTCCATTGGGTCACCTCTCTTTGGAATGGGCACAAATACGGATCTCTTCCAATCAATCTGCTAGATAGTTGTCGTCCAACTTTCTTGGCAGAGATGAGTGAGTGCCTCTGTGCCGCCTCACTTTCTTGAAAGATTTCAATATTTATTCCATCAATTCCAGGTGCCTTGTTCTTTGCCAGATTTTCATCATATCTTGGCTTCTTTATTTTATGCTAGCTTTATCTTAAAGGTTGATTTTTCTTGAAGGTCCAAGGTAAACAAAATGCTTATTAATTTTGAGAATCCTTGTTCTAGCACTACGATTAAAAGTCTTGGTATTCACTTTGATAAGCCTGTTAGTTATTAGGTGCCATTGAGTTGGTTCCAAGTATGCACAACAGAATGAAACAGGGCTCATGCTCTTATTATTGTTGTTGTTATTGTTATGTGCCATGGAGTTGGTTTTGACTTCTAGTGACCCTGTATAGGGTTTCCAAGGCTGTAAATCTTTACGGGAGTAGAAAGCCTCGTCTTTCTCCAGCGGAACAGCTGGTAGTTTCGAACTGCTGACCCTGAGGTTAGTTGGTTATGTGCTGTGGAGTCGGTTCGGACCCATAGTTACCCTGAACAGGGATTCTGAGGCTGTAAATCTTTACCATTGAGTCTTAGTCTTGGAAGGAGGTTTGCACTGAGGGGACCCGACCACTTGCCTTGATGTTTCCTGGGCAAGCATGTTGCTTGTTTTTGTAGTAACAATCTGTCTGCCTATGTTGTTTTATAATTTTCCTGTAGGTCTTTCTTTCAAGAAGTATCTTCTGTTTTTCTAGCCACTCCAGGCTGGTCTGCTTGTTCTTTCAAGTGGGAATTTCCCATCTCTGGAAAAGTGGATGTGGTTCAGGCTTCCACCTATAGTCTTATGTATTGCAGAGGCGCCGCAGGAAGCCTCCTTCACTGGGCACGTTGTAGCCCCATTTTAGGTATTCCAGTCAGTTATAGGCAGAAGATGGACTTACAAGCTTTCTATGGTGATGCTTTTCGCTATTCCTTTCTCTCCCCCTCCAGTGTCTATTTTATAATATAATGTCTTTCTTCTTTTTTTAATGATTCATGTATCCGTTGATATTTTCACTATAGGATCACTCAGTATTGTAAGTCAAGGCTTGAATTTTTTCTACAGTTGT